TGCGTGTTTCGTACTGTTCAAACCGCCATTGAAAACCAGATCTGGGTCACATGAGGTCGAAAAAAAATCAGATTTCAGCCCGTTGTGTGAACTTAAAAGAGTTGCTGCAGCAATCTTTTTTTTATCAATTGTAACTGAACCTAACTGATTACATCATTTTACAGCTAAACTAACTCAAGTTGTCTAGACAAATATTGATTGGTTCTGCAGCCACACAGGATAAGTGCACTCAAATGCCCACAGAGACAGACAGACAGACAGACACACACACACACACACGTACGTGTAATGGACTTGGAGCACTAAGAAGCACTGTTTTAATAACCTATGCTTCAGCTAGATTGAATCAAACTGTGTGGTTTTAGCAGGTATGAGACCCGCATGCATATGCTTCAGTAATTGTGCATATCTGAGTGTTCACTTAGCTCTTTGCTTTTATCTCAGGTCTGGCATTGCATTAGCAAAGGCAGCGATTTGCTCTGTCAGTGCTTTTAGCTTTAGTGATCTCCAGAGAGAAGCAAGAGAAGGACAATAACAAATGCAAAGGAAGAACAGGAAGAGGTAGTACTTGATATGCTTGTAGCTTTATCCCGCTATTCAAAAAGCCAGAAAAAAGGATTAGAACCATAAAAAAGATTAAAAAGAGAACTATGCTGCAGTAGGGTTAAAGAAACCCCCAGAAGACAACGCTACAATTAATGTAATGCAAAATGTAAATAAATAAAGCCCCAAGTCCACAAAAGACCGGGCATACTGAAGGCTATGTTAATAAACAAAATTATATGTTTAGAATTTCCACTGAAATTTGAACGAAGAAAGCACTGTACACTACGCTCTACGTTTTAAATGAGCTATTTGCTTATGTTGCACAATTTCCCTTAGTTTTATACAGTTGTGTAATATAAACATCACTGCTTGTGAGTAATGAATTTAGGGATCAAGACAAGATATGGATCAGTGGAGTTTTTTTTTAACATATTGCCCATTTTGGAAGAGTTTACTGGTTGTGTAATACCTGCAGTTAAAAACCTCTCTAAACTAATCCCACGTGGTGCCTACGAAGCTGCACACACAGGTTGCCATCATCACTGGCACACATCTTGAGCAGCAGGACTTGGCCTGCCTAGTTCTCTCTTTTTACCTAAAACTGTGGATTGTGTGTGTGTAGGTTTAGTGTATGTGCACATAGTGAGAGCATTTGTCTGCCTATACATTGTCCTGTCTGCTTTATGTTAAAATTACTGTGAGTATTTTGAGTTTCCCTAAGCTGTTCATCTTTAGCATCACAGTTGTGTGTAGCTGTAGAATTGCATGTTAGTAGGGTGCAGCATGGCACTAAAAAGATTATCTAAAACCTGATTATGTAAAATCTGAGCTGCAGAGGATAGGGGAACAGCTGCAGCTCACACACGTCACCCTGTGTTAACAAATGAGCTGGAAAATGACCTGGAATGAAAGAAATATAAATATTATGATTTGACTGGACTGTGTCTAATCTAAGCATATACTGTTGTCAAATTTATATAATGGATCAATTAATGTTTATTTTTCAGTTAAATAAGGAAAATAATATATAATAATATTAAATCTTTAGTTTTGAACCGTAGCCCAAATTTTGGTTTTCACCTCTTTGTCTCGCCCAGGCGTGGTACAGCTATTATCAGGTACTGTACACTGCATGTTCCACACCATATATCACATGCCTCTAGTAAGTGTTACCATAAAAAATGATAAATTACCCTTGGTGATGTGCGAAAGAGAGAACAAGAATGAGATTCTGTCAGTCTTAGGTTTTGTGCTTGCATAATCAATTTAACCACAGAGGATGCTGTAACTCACATCGACCAGAACACAACAATCACAAACAGGAAGAGCTCTTTAAATAAAGAGGAGCATCTACTAAATTATTCAGCCATGGACACAATTCCTTTTATGACTCAGGTCTGACAAGAATCTTCATTTACTTTTCAACACACACACACTCACTCTTACAAAAGCCAAGAGAAATCAGCCTCTATTTGAGTAGAGCCGCTTCAGCTGACAACTGCAGCATTGCGAGGAGACAGGACCAAGATAAACTGCACCATTTTCCTCTCTTTTAAGACGGGATGGTGATGATATTGGTTTTCTGCTGTTACTATCAGCAGCCTCTTTCTGCTGCTGCAAGGCTGAGTCAGTAAGACTATTTGTGTGAAACAGCAAAAAGTCGTTCGCTGCAGTGTGAATTACTGGTACAATAAAATCAAAGTACAGAAAGCAGAGCTCAATGTGAATTTATAAAACAGTGAATGTGTGTAATACTGCATTTTTTCAGCATAAATCATATTAGTGGCATGCTGATGAGTTAGAGAAACCAGCATCCCAAAGCAGGAGCACCAGTTACTGTCACTGTTATACAAGTGTGGGAGGCTGTGCATACAGATGTGGGCAGCCGCAGGTAGAAATATGTGGTGACACTACAAGTTCATACCTTTAATTGTTAATGGTGTTACAGTGTTTGCGTGCTGGAGGAAAGAGAGAGCATGAAGAGGAGGTGGGAGATGGAACAAGATGACAGATGGAGAAGAGCTGAAGCAGGAAGTGACTTAATACAGATATTGTATGTTAATGCCACTGTCTATAGATAAATATTAGAATCAATTTAGATTTAAATTTGTACAATTACATACAGTATGCAGACAAACTACTCCACCCCATACTTTTTTTAATCAGACCACAAATTATATAATAGTTTTATTTAGCTATAATTTTTAAGAGGAAATAAATACTTAAAGCCGTTTATAACATAGTGGTTAAATGAAGAATAAAAAAGACAGACTGCAGCTTTAGTTGTGGTTTTGTAGTGAGCACTGACAGAAAAGTGTTTAACAACAGAGGGTGGGCCTGGATTCATTTCACTGCAACATGTAAACAAACTTGCATTTGGTTTCCCTCTAGTGGCCAACAGAGGAAACATACATAACATGATGTCCTGAGCTGTTGTGGCGCTGAACACTGAAGCTGCATTCAGTCGTGACTGAAGAAATTTATCTGAGTCGATTTTAAAAAATGATAACTGATATGGATTCATGTCATCATTGCTGATGTGCATTCATTTAATACGGTGGGTATCAGGGCAGAAATTTTTAATCATGCATCTCTAGAACACACTTTCATTACTTTGTGTTCTTTTCTGCCAGACCATTTCCTGGTTTACAAAATTCATAGAACGTGTCAGCAAAATGGCAAAATGTTTTAATTCTCATTAGCCATGAGAAGTACTGCTCAGGCAGTTTAAAATGTTTTGTGTTTCTCTGCAGGAAATTTCAAAATAAAATAGCCCTGGTGATGTAAGACAAGAAACACCTAATTAAAACAGAAAGCGAGACAATTTGTCGTAGCAACAGAATTTTTAATTTTTGTAAGATATAAAAATCATCACCTTTATCATACAATAACACCTTACCATAAATTTTGTCAAATGAGCGAGAGTTTTGCCACCAAACAAGAATTATAATACAACTTTGATCCCTTTTTGAGGTATGACAGCTGGTTCATACATTATTTAGCCACACAGGTCTTCTCTTCTACACAAGTACAATATTCGTCTGACTGTTTGGTTTGTTTTCATGTGTTTTCCATGCACCTGTAGGCCGAGGCTCCGAGCCAGAAGCAGGACCTACCCTATGAAGCTACTCAAAATGAGACGCATGTATTCTTGTTTTTGTGGGATCTGTCAAATTCAGTGTAAATGAAATGAAATCAAGGTATTTAATAAACAATCAGTGGAAACTGAAAGATATTACAAGACTGCGAAAGATAATGCACACAGAGCAGTAGATCTGCCTGTGAGTACTCAATTCTATAAAGGCAACAGTCAGGCAAGCTTTCATACATTTTGAAGACAGAAGAACAGACCTGTACGGTGCCAAGTCCACAGACTGTGATGTGCTCAGCGTGTCTTTAACTATTTTAAATCACCACTTTCTTAGGACAAAAAAACAAAACTAAACAAAAAATGCAGCCAACACAGGAAACAGCAATCAATATGCATTATTCAACAGAGACAGTGGGGAAAAAAACCTAAAACACAAAAACAAATATAGAATTTTAACATGCCACTTTGTTCCTCGGGCAAGCTTTTTTCACATAAAGCCACCTATTTCACTAGTTTTTGTAGTAATAAAAATAAGAGACATCTCAAATGATTGCCAGCAGGTGGACCAAGCGAAGAAAGGGAGAGGAGAGAAATGAGAAAGCCACATGACATCATCACATCACTGGACCAAGCACATGACCCTGCAGCACCCCAAAAGACAGTACACACACACACTGTAAACATGCAGCTCACACCCTCCCACACACACACACACACACACACACTCTCCATAAAACAAAATTAAAGCATAGAGACAAAACATCAGCATTTGACATTTCCCAGAATGCCCGTGTTCTGGCTGTACCAAAGCCAAAGAGGCATTTATGGCAGAAATATTTAATATTCATATTAATAATGCTCTTTCAAAAACATTTCACAATAGCTGGACAGTACTGTGGTTTTGTGCTGTCGGCACAGGCTGATTTGGCAGCACAACCGATAATAAAGCTCATCAGTGTTACAAAAAGAACAGGTAGACAACAAAACAGGCAGGCAGACAGGCGTGCGAAAGCTCAGTGACAACCAATTACAGCAATGATTTGGAGAGAAAACTTTCATTGTCAATATCGAAAACACGGCTGCATCGACTCTGTGGCAGTTCATGCACAAACACGCATACGCACTCACACATACACCCACGCAGCACTAATATATCTGCCAAACACCTGCACACAGTTAG